TTTTATTTTACTCTTCCCTCTACTGAAAGTCAGATGTAGGTAACTAGAAAATACTGGCTACTTGATTTGATTCATTTTTTCCTGACATCAGTTATGAAGGATGACGTTAGAAGTACTGATGTTAATTAATTTAAGTTGGTGAAGGACAGGTTTGGAAGTTGCTTCTTTCTGCTTTACAACTTATATGTCCAAAGGTGGATAAAGTACTTGCGCCCAAAAAAGGGAGCAAGATAGATTAAAAAAATAAGTATGGGCGGAAGTGTATGTCTAAATAAGAGAAAATGGTCTAAAACCCCCCCAACCTATACTCGAAATCTCAACTACACACTCCAACTTTACGGGTGTCCTATTACCCACCTGAACTTTATATTTCTCTATTTTATACACACCTAAGTGCTGACCTGTCATGGGAGGTGTTCTCACTTCCTCTAGGCGCGTTAAAACGTTAATTTTGACGAAAAATTCCTCCTTCTCCAACGATTACAACCTCTGTTCATATCGTGAGCTCCGGCTAGTTCACCTGAATCTTCGCCATAATTACAACCTCTATTCATATCGATTTTACTTACATAATTGAGTGCGCTGGGATGAGGGGATTCCAGCATAGTGATTTGTTTCCCCTGAATCTCAGTTATTGTCGGCGAAACTCCGTTTGAGTTGAGAGGCGATTTTGGTGATTCTCCCCCCAAAATCGCTTGAGCAGATCTCTCAAATGGTAAGATAGAATGTTGTGATTTTGTAGTATTAGGTAGATCTTGAGGTGTAGATTACATCAATTGGAACGATCTGAATCACTCCCAACAGTGATCGCTGGATTGTAATTTGAAGGTGATTCTTGTTGGAGAAGATCCGTCTCCTCCATAGGTATATTTTTGCATTGGTCTGAAGGTCGTATGACCGTCGCCGGCTGCGCTATGGCCATTTCGGTGGAACTGTCAACCTAAGCTCTTAGTTAACAGAGGGCATTGCTAATGGAGAAGGATTGAAAATGAGAAAGGAGGATTTTTTTTGTTCTTTTACGTTTTAGGAGGGAAATGGTGGAAAAAACAAGAAATGGGAGTTGAAGAGGTGAGGGACCCAGCGCGTGGAATCACGCAGGCCTAATTATTTGGTTTATGTGTTGAGGTCAGCACTTAGGTGTGTATAAAATAGAGAAATATAAAGTTCAGGTGGGTAATAGGACACCCGTAAAGTTGGAGTGTGTAGTTGAGATTTCGGATATAGGTTGGGGGGTTCTAGACCATTTTCTCATATAAAAATTATAACAAACTGTTGAAAAAAATAATTTTATATATAAAAATGTTA